TCCCCGTTTTTCAAATGAAAAAACTGAGATCCAGAGAGGTTAACTGGCTTGCCCAAGGCCACACAGCCAATTAAGCAGTGGAGCCAGGACTTGAAGCCAGACAGCCGGGTTCCAGAACCACGCTGCCAGCCACTCCACTCAGCTGCCTTTGCTAGACAAGCCCAGGCAGAAGGCGCTGGGGCTTTGGAGCGAGAGACATCTGCATTTGAACTTGGCCTTGGCTTTTGTTGGTTGTGTGAACACGGATAAGGAATCACCCTCACTTAGGCCCATTTGCTCATCTGGCGAATGGGGATAGGAATTCCTTCCTCACAGGACTGTTAAGAGGCTGAAAGTAGACAGGACTCACAAACCGTCCACGGAGCACTGGGCACGTGGCAGGTGCACAGTATCTAGAGCTGCTCTCCTGACAGCCCTGCTGTCCCAACCTCCGCTCCTCAGCCCCACCCGGGCTTGCCAAGTCAGCGGACTGATTCCCATGCCTTACCCTCTTCATGCCTCTTCTGTCTCACCCCCACCTGCCTAAGAAAGGGGAGAGACCTGAGTTTGAATCCTGTTCCTTCTGTGGTACCCTGAGTAACCCTGGGAGAGTCCTGACCCTTCAGTAGGTCTGTTTCTTCACCTACATATTGAGGATACTTATTTAAATCCTGCTCACTCACTGGCCTATGACGAAGGACAAACCAAAGGATATGAATGTGCTTTGCAAAGAACAGGTGAGGGTGAAGAGATGAGGATGGATAGGAGATACAGTCAGGAGGCACCATGTACAGCACTGGTGCCCGATGGGCGTGGGGGTGACCAGGATGAGACCTGATGGGCCGTCACGAGTAGCGGGAGGAAGAGAATTGGCAGGAAGACGCTGAGGTCAGCAGGAGACATGGAGGACGTGAGGAGTCCATTGGCCAGTTAGGAGGCTGCCAGGGTCTCAAAGACAAGACATCTGGGAGCTGCTTGTTCAGGGACTGAAGCTGAAGGTGCAGGAGGATGGTAACATTCCCCAGAAAGATGTGTGTGGAAGGAGGAGAGACTGCGTGTTGTCATTTATGCTGTGGCCCAAGGGAAGGAGTAAGCAAGAGCCAAGCTCACTGTGAATAAATTTCCTTCATGATTTTTGCAGTTTTATGGCTCAGAAACTGTCCCAACCATTATCTTCTTCCACTCTCCCCCCACAAATAAACAGCCCTTAGAGGCGGGCAGGGCCCTGGAGAAAGAACCCGGGGGGCAGGCTGTGGCAGTGAGTCACCTACACACAGGAGAGGAGCAAGGCTGGACCGGGCCCACAATGACGCTCCCGACTCCCGATTCCCGGTCCAGGACACTCTACAGCAGACACAGTGGTGCTGCGCCTGAGGCTCACTTGGATTCGGGTTAAAGGCCTGGCCCCAAAGCTTATTGACTTGTGACTTTGGGTAGGTCCCTTCCCCTCTAAGACTCATTTCCTCATTAGTGAAAACTGCATCTATCATAGGCTCTACTTCATGGGACAGCTGCAGGAGCTCAGCAAGACCCAAAGGATGGAAAGCACTCTGCAGAGCACCAGCACACTGCACACCGCTCAGTAAACAAAAAAGGCTGCTATTATGACACAACTCTGGAAAACAGGGGCTTCTGGCACCTCTCAGCTCAAACTCCAATGCCAATTCCAGTCAGTGAAATCCAAAGTTCTTTCCAAGGCCTATCAGGTCCCACATGATCTGGCCCCAGTTTCCTCTCTGATCTCATCTTCTATCACTTCCCCTTCTTCATCCACTGCAGCCACGCTGGCCTCCTGGCTACTCCTTGAACACACCAGATATAAGGCCTCAGGGCCTTCGCATTTGCTGTTCTTTCTGTTTTGAATGCTCTTCACTCAGATTCTGTCAGGACTTGTCCCCTTGCCTCCTTCAGGTCTCTGCTCAAAAGTCAGCTGTTCAGAGAAGCCTTCTCTGACTGCTTCATCTAAGACAGCCCCTTTATCACTCTGAGCGCAGTCCGTTTTGTCCACAGTTATATCCCCAGCATCTAGATGAGGGCCTGGTGCCTAGCTGGTGCTCAATAAACATTGGTGGAATGAGTGGACACATGAATGCTGCCCTTGGGCCCAGATACTCACCCGTCTCTCTCTGTCCCAAGGTGCAGTGTAGTCCCTCTCCCGACCACCAGGCCCGGAGAGATTCTGGGGGCCGCCAGGGCCGGGCTCCTTCCACCGCCGCCGCCTGTCTATCCCATAGAGCCCAGGCTGACTGTGCCCAGACTCAGACATGGTCACCTATGGGTAGAAAGAGGTTGATTCCAGGATGAAAGAAGTCTCTCCCCACTCTATCTGGCTTACCCTGGACTATAAGGCACTTCCTTTCAAGAGAGCTCTGTGGCTGTGGCAGTGACTGCCAGCAGGATCTCAATAGCCATTCTTCACTACTTCCAAAGAAATAAAACCCTCAGTTCTGAGCTGGACACCTGGCTATCCAGAATATACTTCTCAGCCTAGTCTGCAGTTAGCTGCGGCCATGTGACTAAGCTCTTTCTGGCCAACGGTATGACACCAGAAGCGTGTTTTGGCAGCGTTCAGAAACTTTTCTTCACAGACACTGGCACCTGCCTTTTGTCCCTTCCTCCTACTAGCTGAAAGGAATGCGGGTGTGGAGGCTGGAGCTCAAGCAGCCATTAAGGTCTGTGAGGCAGCTTAATGGAAGGAAGGCATAAGAGACAAAACACAAGGTTCGGGGACTCCCTATTAACCTTAAATTGCCTATCTCTGGATGCAGTGACAAACAAATCCCCTTCTATCTCTTGTAGCCAAAACTATTCCCAACTGTTAATCACTTTTCTCAACACAAATACTAACACATGGGGGAAGGTCACATAAAAATGGGACATACTCTTTCCCAAAGTGCAGCAAAGCATTTCCATACAAATCTGTAACATGACCCCCAGTCCGACAACTACCCTTTTGATTACCCAATACTGGCACATGTGGGGGTGGGGCACCTGTATTCAAGGGCCTGTTTTCACCGGGTGTCCCTCTACTTTCAGTGTGTTCACCTTCCATTACTGATGGTCTGCCATCCCTCACCCTCCAAGGCCTCACCAGGGACATTATATGTCCCTCACCAGGGTCATTATACGTCATTATATGTCTCACATCTAAGACATTATAAAATGTATGGTTACCTATATAACCCACACTCTATCATTTAACTAGCTGCTTATAGGCCCCTAGGGAGTTTCCCCAGCTGTTTACACTTCATTCCAGGGAAGTCTCTTGAGTATGTCTGTTTGCAGGACTCCGAGGCCAACTGCTATAGCTCACGGGTCCATATCTGGTCTGCCTTCTGTTTTCGGAAATAAAGTTTTATTGGAATACAGCCACATCCATCAATTTTACAAGTTGTCTATGGCTGCCTTCTTGATACAATGGCAGAGGTGACTAGCTGAGACAGAGATACTATGGGCTGCAGAGTCTAAAGTAATTATTCTCTGGACCTTTACAGAAAAAGTTTGCTGACCTTTGCTTAGCTCTGAAGTGCCTTCAAATCATTCTATGAATCCCTCCACCTCCCACCCCAGTACAGTGACATTAAGAGGTCCTTGTGTAAGACTCTTTCCCCAGAACGGAAGTATCTGTTTACAGGATGCAGGAGTAATTTTGCTAGCCAGGTAGGGGCTTGTCTAGCTCCTCTCGCACTGCTCTACATGACCTCTCCCCTAGCCACAAACTAGGTGGAAGACTGCCTTCTGAGACAAAGGAGGGCAAGGCCAGTTTACAGACGCTTATGCAAACTGATTCAGCACTTAAGTGACTGTTTACAGTCTCCTGAAGGACAGCCTCCTCAGAAATCGAGAGTCTTCCCCGCCTTGCAATTAAGGTTCTGTTTACACTTTATCCTGGAGGCCTCCAGTGCACTTAATTGTCTGTTTTCTTGCCTCAATAGGGATTCTGCTCCACCACTAAAGTATCTGTTTACATAACCCATGAGGACCTTCTTCCCATGCATGTTATTCTGGGAACTTCCACAGTACCTGAGTTTATTCTACAGCCCCTATGGCAAGCTCCCCAGAATTTAAGAGTTCACCTACAAGCATTTTGGGGACTCCCAATAGTTTCCAGGCTCCTCTGGGGATCCCCCCACACACACAAAAGTATAAAGCCAGTCTATTTGTGTTTATTTACAGGACTCTTAAGGTGACCTCCCAGAACTACAAATTACAAATTCCCCTATTACAAATTCTTTGGGGGGGGGCTTCCTCAGTACTTAAGCATCTCTTAACATGCTCCTTTTGGGGGATCACCCAGAATCTATTTGCAAGTTATTTGGGGAGACTCCCAATTCCTAACTCCGTATTTATGGTCTAATGGAGCACTCCCACCCCAGAACCTGGGTCTATTCACACTATTTTTCTACAAGACTCTCCAGCAATTACATGTATATGTACAGCCTCTCATATGGGGTCTCCCCTGGAACTTGAGTCTGTGTTTTATTCAGGGGACTTCAGCATAATTAGGCACCTGTTTACAGGCCTCCTATAGGGAACCCCAGAACTTAAGTTTCTATTTACATTGTATTTAGAGGAATTTGGAGGACCTCCCCACTGTTTAAAAATCCGTTTGTAGGCCCTCTACGAGTGTCCCCAGGGCTCTGCACGTTATTGGAGGGATTTCGCAGTACTTTACCGCCAGTTTACAGGCCCTCAATATAAATGGTCTCCCAGAACTGAAATTTTTCCAATATACACATTATCTGTCTCCTGCCCACCCCACTCCCGGTAACGCGCTTTTTAACGCGTTGCTTTGACTCCGAACTTAGTTACGCACAACCGCCAGGCGTCCGAACGACCAGTTAGCGGTCAAGGAGGAGCCGGGCCCCGAAACACGCCCCGTGCCCCGCCCCCCGCCGAGGCGCCAGCCTAGCGCAGGCACGCGGGCCACTTACCTAAGGCGGCTGCTGATTGGTTCCCGGGGCGTAAGGGGGGCGCGCGCTCTCCGAGATGGGGGTGGGGTGGGGACGGGGAGGTTCCACTGCAAGCCACCGGCCTGTAAATGGTGTCTGGGAACCCGGGAGCGTGGCGGGAGAGAACGGGTACCGGTCAACCCACAACCGGTGGGGGCATCCCGGAAGCGGCACCGAAGGTAGGCCGGTCCGAGGGAGGAAGAAGTCGAGAAGATCTCGCGGGGCCGAACCGAGATCTCGTCTCGCGGGCTGCCGGCCGTGCGCATGCGCCGCAGGCTGGGCGCGCGAGAATCGAGCGTGAGCGCCGGGCTGAGCATGCGTTGATGTAGGTGGTTGGCTTCAGCAAGCCGGCGGGTTGCAGAGGGCAGTTGGGAGTGCGCGGCGACTCCGCTTCAGTACGCGTGCTCATCGCAGGGGGCGTACGTGGGCTTGCAGAGAAGCTGGGGAAGCGGGGCGGGGCGGGGACGCCGGAGGCTGTGGGTTCGAGTACCGCTTCAGCTGTGGTGTTGGCAGGACGCGGTGGGGTGGGACGGCAGGAAAGAATTTTAAGTGTCCCGGGCTGAGTGAGTGCTGAGAACACAGGCATGAATCAGAACTGGCGTAGGCCCTGGATGGGATCCCGGTCTGTGGAGGGAGACGGCTAGGGAATCAAATCACTTAGGAAAGGATGCGGATACGATTGGACCTTGAAGGGCAGGCAAGGACACTCCAGGCGAGGGAACCCCGGGAGAAAGGTCCAAACTGGCTTGGACTCATGGAGTTCCACTGGGGTGGGAGGTGAGGCAGCAGACATGGGCAGGTCAGATCCTGAAGAGATGTGAGACGTGGACTGGTGGGAAGAAGAGCACGTATAAACCCTTCGGGGGCTGCGGTGGAGGAGGGATACAGTGCTAAGAGTCAACAATTCAAACGCCTGCGGTGGGAACCCTGTGCGCGCCTAAGATGAATACCGGGCGGAGAGTGAGGCCCGCAAAGACCGCATGCGCTGTTAGCCCAAAGGCCTCCGCGACTTAGCTGAAGCGGGTGGTTGCCAATGGGAACGATAGATGCTTCAAGAGAAGAGAGAAGGGTATATATACATATACATATATTCATAGATATATAGGTGAGTGAGGAATTTACCATTTTTCATTTAAAATTACATTTGGGTACCTCCCCGGAGGTCCAGTGGTTAAGATTCGGCTTCCATTGCTTGGGGACACAGGTGGTCCCAGGTCGGGGAACTAAGATCCCACATGCTGCGTGACGTGGCCAAACAACAAAATTATATTTGGACAGGGAATACATGTACATTCTGACAAAAGTCGAGAAGTCCATGGGGTAGACAAGAAAAGTCCGTCTCCTCTCTGGTTCCCATATTCCATTCCTAGAGCACCGCTTCTCAGTTTCCTTCTGGAGCTACTGTTAGAGCAAAGCATTGGGGTTGACAGCTTGAGCCTGGCCAAGTTCCTTAACCTTTCTGCGTCTGTGTCCTGTTTCTACAATGGAGATGAGGGCACTGAATGATGATACTGGCAGAGTTAAATGGGTGACAGTGCCTAGAATAGTGCCTGGTGCATAGTAGCACTGTGTGTTGTCATTATTTTTTTTTATTTTTATTTTTTTGCGGTACTCGGGCCTCTCACTGTTATGGCCTGTGCAGAGCACAGGCTCCGGATGCGCAGGCTCAGCTGCCATGGCTCACGGGCCCAGCCGCTCCGTTGCATGTGGGATCTTCCCGGACCGGGGCACGAACCCGTGTCCCCTGCATCAGCAGGCGGACTCTCAACCACTGTGCCACCAGGGAAGCCCTGTTGTCATTATTTTGTGGTTTACGATGACAGTGATAGTGACTGAGTCTGAACTGCCCCCATCCCGTCCAGGCCTCATCCCTGCTGCCATTTTCTCAGCACGGGTGGCAGGTGGAACCATTTCTCCAGGCTGTCACAGGCTGGGTGAAAACAACCATCACACAGACTGAGTTGAGAGTCCTGTTGTTTGTGGATTCTCCAGAAGATTGTGGGTGTCTGGAATAGATACGCATGACAGGCCATCTTTGTGTTATGTCTGACATTATCCCCTTTAGCATCTTCATCTGTTAGGTCGAATCTGTTTTTCTTACCTGAATTTCTCAACCCCAGAGTAGCCTCACAAATGCCAGTTTCACCTCTGGGCAACCCTCAGAGGTGGAGATTTGACTTAAGGGAAAAGAAGGGGCTTGGCATTGGACCATGGGCCCACTGTATACTATATACATCACTGTAACCTTCTCCCCTCCTCATTTAACAGATGCAGAAAATGAGTCTGAGAGAGAAGAAGGGCCTTACTGAAGTACCCAGGGCCAGGAGGCATCAGGGCCTGGATTCAAACCCAACCCTGTCTCACTCTAGGGCGAGCTCACATTTTTTCCCTGGCATTGGGCAGCCTGCCTAGCGGTGAGTCAGTGGTGCAATCAGGCACCCAGAGAGCTGCTTTTATATAAATGGGATGGTGTGCTGTTGTGTGGATGTACCATACTTAACCATTACCCTATTGATAAACATTTAGGTTGTTTCTGAACTTCTGCTCTTACAAACGTTTGCCACAATGAATATCCTGTACATCTGACTGCATGTAGATGATAGTATTATCAATAGAATATCTCGTTTGAAGTAGAATTGCTGAGTCAAAGGGTACCTGCACAGGGAATTTTAAGAGCCCTTTGCCAAACGATCTATTCATTTCTCAAGTCACTTCTCTGTTCACTTCATTCATTCGTTTGTATCTACTGAACGAATTATGGAACTCTAGTCATCTGCCAGGACAGAGCACCTGCCCTACAGGAATGGATCTTCTAGTAGGGGCAGATGACGTCAGGTAAAAGATGCTTGGAAAAATCAGGATAAGGGAAGTGAGAGTGACATAGGTCACAGAGAGTGACAGGTGGTCAGGGAAGGCTGCTCTGAGGTGACATTTGAGCAGAAGCCTGAAAGATGGTAAGGGAATGAACCATAGGAAGATGCTAAAAAACAGTAAGTGGAAAGATCCCGAAGTGAGAATGGACCTGGGTGTTCAAGGATTATCAAGATGACCAGAGTGACCAGAGCAGAGTGGAAAAGGGGTAGAATTATTTAGGGATATAGCTGTAGAGAGGTCCAGGTTACATGGGGTCTTGTGGGCTATGGTAAGAGCTTTTGAATTTACTTACAAGTGTAACAGGAAGCCTTTGGAGGGCCATGAGCAAGGACAAGCATGTTGTGAGGTATGTTTTGTAAAGATTTCTCTAGTGTTATTCTCAAAAAGTAGTAACAGTGGTTCCCTGTGGGGGTGAAGGTTATAGGTAGATGTGGAGGAAAACGTCTTAAGACTTGCATGTTTTTGAACTATGTGACTCTTATCTATGCACAAAAAAGTTAAACCAGCACTGGCCGCCATGAGGAGAATGGGCTGCAGCTGGGCAGCAGTGGAAGCAGGAGATGAGGAAGCTGCTGTCTCTTCCCTGGACAAGAGATGACGATGACTCAGGAAGAGGGTTATGTGAGAGGAAGCATGAATCAGGAATGACTTAAAGGTTATCCTGAAGGTTTGGGCCTGACCCACTGGGTGAAGAGTGATGCTTTTTATCAAGATGGGGAGGAGTAGACTTGACGGGAAATTGACAAGCTTTGAACTGCTTAACTTTGAGATGCACACTGGACATCTCAAGTGGTCCAAGTAAGTGGTCGCACTAGGGCGAAGCCAGGGTTTGTAGATACAGAATTTTTACTGACTTTTCACTATGAAAATTTAAAAACACGCACAAAAGTTTTCTGGTATAAAGAACTCCCACATACCCACCACCCAGTGTGGAGAGCCATCACATTTTACTTATCTTATTTCTTCTATTTTCTTCTCCCACATATAAGCACACTTTTTCCTGGAGTTTCTGTATTATTTTTTAAGCTTTTAAGCAAACCTCAGATGTCCTGTCATTTTATCAATAACTATACAAGTGTGCTAAATTTTGAAGCTGTTAATATATAGATGACATTTAAAGCCCCGGAATTTGCTGAAACCATCCAGCCTGAGGGAGTAGGTTGAGCAGGGACTGGGCCCTGGGCCTCTCACATTTAGGAATCGGGGAAAGGACCAGCATCCTAGAGATGGAGCAGGAGTATCAGGAGAGGTGATAAACTGGGGCCGAGGAAACAGAGTTCCAAAAAGATGGTGATCGACTAGGGAGCAGAGATACAGAGCAGTAGCTGGAGGTGGACGTGGGGTCCACCATGGAGAAAACATGGCTGTCTCATCCCCCAGTCTTGTTGCAGGAGAATGGGGTGCAAGAAGATGGTCATGTCCCAGGCGAGTCCCAGGGACGGGCCATCAAGTGAGGGTCCTTGGTTTCACTCAGGAAAATTCAAGAGCGAGCCACAGTAAAGTGAAAGTAAGTTTATTTAGAGAGATACACATTCCATCGGCAGAATGCAGACCATCTCAGAAGGCAAGAGTGGCACTGGGGTGCGGGGGTGGTTAGTTTTTATGGGCTGGATAATTTCATAGGCTAACAAGTGAGAAGATTATTCCAAATATTTTGGGGAGGGGGCGGGGATTTCCAGGAATCGGGCCACCACCCACTCTTCGGCTTTTTATGGTCAGCCTCAGAACTGTTATGGTGCCTGTGGGTGTGTCACTTAGCATATGCTGATGTATTGCAACAAACGTATAATGAGGCTCAAGGTCTAGGGAAGTCAAATCTTCTGCCATCTTGGGCCTAGTAGGTTCTAAACAGTTTTAGTCGTATCCTCGAGGGGCTGTGTCATTCTTTTTTTTTTTGTTTTTTTTAATACTTATTTATTTATTTGGCTGCGCTGGGTCTTTAGTTGTGGCATGCATGCAGGATCTAGTTCCCTGACCAGGGATCAAACCCAGGACCCCTGCATTGGGAGCATGGAGTCTTAACCACTGGACCACCAGGGAAGTCCTGTGTCATTCTTTTAAAGGTTGTGTCCTGCCCCCTTCCCTCCTGTCTCAGTCTCACTATGTCATGGAAACTTCTCAATATCGTAATATGGAATCTATAAGGAAAAGTTTACAGGTACTTACTTTTCTTTATCTTTTTTGTTGTTGAGGTGTAACTTAAACGTGGCGAAGTGCAGAAAAGACACAGATCTTAAGAGTATTGGTCAATGAATTTTTACAAATCTATATAATCGTGTAACCACTAACCAGGTCAAGGTAGAGAACATTTCCAACGCCCCAGAAATTTCTCTTGGACCCTTTCCCTGTCAGCTCCCCCACTCCAGAAGCAGCCACTGATCTAATTCTGGTTACTATACGTGAGTTGTGTCTGCTCTTTTGAACTTGATATAAATGAAATCTTACAGCAGGTCTTCTGTGTTGTCTTCCTTCTTTAGCTCTTTGGTCTGTGAGAGTCTTTGCTGCTGTTGAATGTATCAGGAGTTTGTTCTATAAGAACTTACTTTTAAAGGATTTCCACATACAGGTTATTTTACAATGTGTAAAATAAAGACTCTGAATTTGAATTCGGGATGTTTTGCAGTTTGGAGAATACATAGTGGAGGATGTAAAGTGCTTAAAGTTCCTGTGGGCCGTTTTTGAGATGGGAGGAATGACAGCATGTTTGTATGCTGCTGGGAGTGATAGGGAAACCATGCAACTCAAATTGGAACCCACGTGCCAGGGCCAAACCCATACTGGGAATTGAACCCACGTCCTTTTATTTATTTTTTTGAATTTTATTTTCTTTATTTTTTATACAGCAGGTTCTTATTAGTTATCAATTTAATACATATTAGTGTATATATATCAGTCCCAATCTCCCAATTCATCCCACCACCACCACCACCCCGTTGGTGTCCATATGTTTGTTCTCTACATCTGTGTCTCTATTTCTGCCCTGCAAACCGGTTCATCTGTACCATTTTTCTAGTTGCCACATATATGCGTTAATATACAATATTTGTTTTTCTCTTTCTAACTTACTTCACTCTGTATGACAGTCTCTAGGTCCATGCATGTCTCTACAAATGACCCAATTTTGTTCCTTTTTATGGCTGAGTAATATTCCATTGTATATATGTACCACATCTTCTTTATCCATTCGTCTGTCAATGGGCATTTAGGTTGCTTCCATGTCCTGGCTATTGTAAATAGTGTTGCAATGAACATTGGGGTGCATGTGTCTCTTTGAATTATGGTTTTCTCTGGGTATATGCCTAGTGGTGGGATTTCTGGGTCATATGGTAATTCTATTTTTAGTTTTTTAAGGAACCTCCATACTGTTCTCCATAGTAGCTGTATCAATTTACATTCACACCAACAGTGCAAGAGGGTTCCCTTTTCTCCACACCCTCTCCAGCATTTGTTTGTAGATTTTCTGATGATGCCCATTCTAACTGGTGTGACACCTCATTGTAGTTGTGATTTGCATTTCTCTAATAATTAGTGACATTGAGCAGCTTTTCATGTGCTTCTTGGCCACCTGTATGTCTTCTTTGGAGAAATGTCTATTTAGGTCTTCTGCCCAGTTTTTGATTGGGTTGTTTGTTTTTTTAGTGTTGAGCTGCATGAACTGTTTATATATTTTGGAGATTAATCCTTTGTCCTTTGATTTGTTTGCAAATATTTTCTCCATTCTGAGGGTTTTCTTTTCATCTTGATTGTAGTTTCCTTTGCTTTGCGGAAGTTTTTCATTAGGTCCCCTTTGTTTACTTTTGTTTTTATTTCCATTACTCTAGGAGGTGGATCAAAAAAGATCTTGCTGTGATTTATGTCAAAGAGTGTTCTTTCTGTGTTTTCCTCTAAGAGTTTTATAGTGTTCAGTCTTACATTTAGGTCTCTAATGCATTTTGAGTTTATTTTTGTTTATGGTGTTAGGGAGTGTTCTAATTTCATTCTTTTACATGTAGCTGTCCAGTTTTCCCAGCACCACTTATTGAAGAGACTATCTTTTCTCCATTGTATATCCTTGCCTCCTTTGTCATAGATTAGTTGACCATGGGTGCGTGAGTTTATCTCTGGGCTTTCTATCCTGTCCCATTGATCTATATTTCTGTTTTTATGCCAGTACCATATTGTCTTGATTACTGTAGCTTAGTAGTATAGTCTGAAGTCAGGGAGCCTGATTCCTCCAGCTCCATTTTTTCCCCTCAGGACTGCTTTGGCTATTCGGGGTCTTTTGTGTCTCCATACAAATTTTAAGATTTTTTTGTTCTAGTTCTATAAAAAAATGCCATTGGTAATTTGATAGGGATTGCATTGAATCTGTAGATTGCGTTGGGTAGTATAGTCATTTTCACAATATTGATTCTTCCAATCCAAGAACATGGTATATCTCTCCATCTGTTTGTATCATCTTTGATTTCTTTCATCAGTGTCTTATAGTTTTCTGAGTACAGGTCTTTTACCTCCTTAGGTAGGTTTATTCCTAGGTATTTTATTCTTTTTGTTGCAGTGG